CCCCCAAAAAAAAAAGAGAGAAATAAAATAAAAAAATACATGCGTGAGCAGAAGAACAAAACAAACAACACAAAAGTGAAAAAAGATGGTTCTTTTAAGGTGTATCAAATAGTTTCATAAAATTTCATAAATTTATACGAAACCACTTTACCCCCCAAACTATCACTTTCAGTAGCTAGTTAACACTTTCAGTTTATTACTTTATAGGTATTTAAAATGGATTTATGAGAGGAACGTAATAGTTTAAGGGATAAGGTGGGACTAAGAATAGTTCAAGGGATAAACAGGTGCAAAGTTAATAGTTCAGGGGATATCAAGGGATAAAGTAAATAGTTTAGAAGGCAAATAGGGCCTGAAGCCTTTCATTTTATCCAAGAATTGAGAGTTGCCATAGGAGCAGAAGAAACATTGACATGCTACAACATCAAATACCTGACCGAGGGGAGGAGGGTCATCACAATAGCACAATTGTCATAGTGCAAGGAACATGAAGCATACTGAAGTGGTATACAGAACCACTATAGAGTCTACAAGGACCTCGTAGTATAGAAGTATAATCATCTTGAATAGAATATATAGCTTAACCAAATCATTAGATATGTATATACTAACAATTAAAGCATCATACAATATGTGCAGAGGCCAGATGGTGGCAAGAATAGGCATATGCTTAAGATCAACACGTACCTCCAGGAATTCTTAGTTAAGAATCTATGTACATAATATAATTTATCATCTGTTTTTTTTTTTTACTTTGTGTAGCTATCCCTTTTTATGTAATTAGAGAGAATTGTTTCTAGCCTTTAATGGCGACCAACCAAACAACTGTCCAAAGGTCAAGGATATCAAATGGTGTCATAAGGTAAACTAGTATGTCAAGGAGGCTGCACCGGAATCCAAAATGTACTAATATAGCAGCAGCAGCAGCAGCAGCAGCAGCAGCGTGAAAATCACAGGTAGAACAGAAAGATAATGCCTTGCACCAAACATCTGCCAATAAACCTCAGTATTGGGATGGTTGAGCACCAGATAGGTAGGATATGCCATCACATACAAGACGTAGGAAATATGCTTCTAACGAGTAAAAGCTCAACAATCACACCACTTTCTGTTTTCACTGTACTGAATCTCAGTGTTTGACCAAGAAAAAAAATATCATGTTTTCTCCAAGAAGGAGTTTTCCTCAGATTTAGGGAGTTTCGAGAAAACCCACAAAAGTCGAGGGGGGATATGTGAAATTTCCCCGTGGTAATACATCAGATATACATACATAGGGCAGAACTGTCTAAAACATGTCACACGCATGCGGTGCATGTGACAAATTAATTGTCATTGGTTATAGAACTTTACTGAAACAAATTTTAGGGGTGGGCAAAAACCGAAAAAAACCGGTTCAACCGAAAAAACCGCCCGAAAAAACGGACCGGTTAACCGAACCGAATTAAATGGATGAGAAGAAGTCTCTAAACCGTCCGAACCGAATTAAATCGGTTTGGATCCGGTTTGAACCCCTGAACAGCCCAAAAAAACCGACCCGAATTCTGTTGGGCGGTTTAGAGACTAAACTTATACCTCAAAACTTTTCCTGTTATCATCCAATAGATTCAAACGGCGCAAGGAGCAGTTTCAAGCAATTAGTACAGCAATATCACAGAAAAATATCCTTGAGAACTAAATAAAGATTCAAATCAATCCAGAAAATTTGTTATGCACATGATGCACTTACAAAAGATGCATATGCTACATTATATGAACAATATCATACAAAACATCACTCCCCCGTGTAATTAAATAAACTTAAACTTTAGTTAAAAAATTTCGCAGAATAAATCTAGAGAATTACATAAGATTCAAATCAATCACAAAATGTGTTATGTACATGATACTTACAAGAGATAAGCATGCTGTATTATATGAACAACATCTTTAAAACATCAGTTCTCTGCGTAATTATATCAACTCAAAACTTTATTCTAAAGATGATAACCAGTCTAATAAAGCTTTGTTGGCGAGCTCAGGAACCTCGTCATAAGGACAATGCCCAACTTGCAGATTCACAACAGAAGTCTTTGGATAGAACTCTTTGCAAATTCAAAACCGAAACCGAACCGAACCGAATTTCGGTTGGGCCGAATATTCGGATGAAGGGGGAAAAATCTGGATCTGGATGAGAGTTTTGAGAATCCGAAAAATTCGGATTGGATGCGGATTGGGCATAAAACCGAACCGAACCGAATATGCTCAGCCCTAACAAATTTAGTGAGGTTTATAAAGTTTTAGTTTCTTTTTAATTAATGTTTTGGGGTGTAATGTGCATGCAAAACATCCAAAGTTCAGTGGAGTACTATGAAATTTACTAAATTCCAATTACGCTTGAGAAGGTGGTTCAATAAGGACAATAGGATTGCAGGTGCAAAAACAAACAGGGTAGGCTAATAAGAACCATAAACGTAAATAAGCTGGATAAACACCAAATTGCTTTAGCAATGAATTGGCTGCAACCATAGTTGCGCGATTCCCTGGACCCGCCCTCAAAATGTCGAACAGTTCATGCGAACCGATTCCCTGTACATTTACGAACCGATTCCCTCCGATACACGAATTAATTCCCCAAAATTTAGCTTACCCCTTACTAAGTATGAGGGGACCAAAGTTGAATTACAAGTCTGTTTGTAACTCTTCAACTGAGAGAAATTGGAGTACTTATTCCTACATAGTGTGAAAAGTAATGGATTGAACAGTGGAAGGGCAGATAAGTTAGTATTCATCCATTCAAACATTCGCCTCCTGTCACGATTTCGTGATAATTACAAAGTTGATCCATATAAAGGATGAGATATGGATCCCAATAATGATAACTTGGAGGACTCTTCAAGTAAGTTGGAGGAGCTTAGATGGAATTGTTTGAACTCGGAATTAGCATAAGATGCACTTAATGTTAAGGGGGGAAAGTTGCAAAATAGAAAAAATTATTAAGAGGGTGTCCAATATTTAATATTTTAAGTTTTATGTATTCATAAATTATAAAAATGAAGTATTGAAGTATTGTGTATGAAAAAATATTAAAATGCATAATTAGTTTTCTAGTTTCTGATTTCCTACTATACACTTTGAAAAATGATAAGCGTACCTAGAAAAAATTACATCGTATCCTATATCGAACTTGCATATCGAAGCAAGCTACCCCCTATCGAATCCAAAATTTCAAAATCTTAAATTGCGTACCCAAATTCGTACGACCCGCTACCTACAACGGACCATGTAACTATGGCTGCAACCCTCCATTTAGAATTAAAAATTAGTCATCTGGTCATACATCTGCTTCCACCCGTTTACAGCCCCATTTCTTCCATTGAGATGATTGATGAATTTCAAGTCAAAAGGAAAACTGCTTACATCAAGATACTTGTATCAATTATTAACTGGTTGCTATGATTCATGCTCAAAGGCTGAGGGGTGAAGTTTGGAGTAGGCTGACCATGTCGACTCAAGGGAAAAAAGAAAAAGAAAAAGAAAAAAGATGCTGCCCAATTAACATTACTAAGAGCAAACTGCAATATGCTATAGAGTAAAAGAAAGCTAATGACATATCAATCAAAAATCCATAATGCTAGATCAGCTAGGCCTAATTCCATGTACCTAGTTAGAGTCTATGTCTAAAAATACTATGCCCTTATAATCCTGGTTCAGAACCATCTGAACAACTGGCAAAATATGTAATGCTACATGCTCCTAAATGCCTAAAAGTATCAGAAGCATAGGTAATTATACTTCTGTATAACATGATGATCACAAAGATAGCGTGATTCTGCCTGAACATCCTAATTCGCTCTTATGATTTTCTCACAATAAAAAAAGATCTCTGATCCTCTGGGACTTGAAGGCAGCACTTTATATGTTCCAGACAGAACACATCACCCTAACAAATGAGCAAGGAAGAAAACAAAACAAGGATCACCTCCACGTACTCCAGCAATCATAGTAGAAGTCAAGGAACAGGAAACTTACCTGTGAAACAATTTTCCTAATCTGAGGTTCAAATCCCATATCAAGCATTCGATCTGCCTCATCCAAGACAAGATATGTTACCCTCCGCAAGTTAGTATTATGAGACTCTAACATATCAATCAGCCGTCCCGGAGTTGCAATCACAATTTCAACACCTGATTAAGAAAATTTTACAAGGAAAAACGTGTTTCCATTACAGACGTCAAATTCTTTGAAGTAACATAATAAGATTGTATATATACTGGACAGGCTAAGATGACCTAATGGGGTCAGCATTAACTTATTCTTTGCTCCAACCAAAGGCGGCTTCCTTCTCCAATAAAAAAGACCTTCTCGAATGACTTACCAGAATTCACTGACATTTTCCCTGAGAAGTGCTGTTATTTTTAACTCTTTTATACAGATTCAATATATCATTAAGGAGAACTGACGCTTGGTCACACAGGATAACACATCAAATTTTTCTATATCACTTCAGCTAAAAAAACAAAAAACAAAAACAAAAAAAACAAAAACAAAAAAACAAAAAGAGGATTGCTTATTGCACAAGGGATAAAAATTTGAAACTGTCAGCCTTACCTTTCTGAAGATCTCGAACTTGTGGTCCCTTTGGAACCCCACCATAAATACAAGTGTTCTTTATCTTTGATGATGCCCCAAATTTTGTGGCTTCCTGTTGTATCTGGACAGCAAGTTCACGGGTTGGTGCTAAAACTAAAACAATTGGGCCATCCCCAGGTGCTGAAATGCAAATTAAATGGATCAGAAATATAAAACGAAAATTAGCATGTTTTGACAACATTCCAAAGAAAGGAAATCAGCATCCTACCTAAGATTGGCTGAGCATTTACATGAACTATTGCAGGTAGCAGATAGGCAAGTGTCTTTCCTGATCCCGTTTCAGCAATACCAATGAGGTCACGACCCTTCAAAGCCATAGGCCATCCTTGTGCTTGAATAGGTGTAGGCTCAACAAATCCAGCTCTGTGAACTTCTTGCATAACATAATCTGAAGATCAACATACAGTGAAATCTAAGGCTATCTTTTGAAAAGCAAAAGGTATCTGTTTCATCAGCTACTTAACAAAAAAGAGTGTCACACCAATCCAGGAATATTACAAACCTAAAATAAGACATATGGAATCAAATTTTAATAAGTAATACTACCAAATTGACCCAATTAGTCATACACATGATCATACAGACACATGGATGCAAGCATGAGCACAGACACAGACACTGTAGAAAATTGGAGAAAAATTCAAGAGAGGAAAAGGAGAAAGAGGAAGAAAGTAAGAAGGAAGAAAGAGAAAGAGGAAAAAGATTATAAAGATCAATAAGTTTGTAAATATTATTGCAATTTTGTAAATAGAAATATGATAAAAAATAAATCAAAAACCTTTTGGAAATCTTGACAATGGTCAGAGGCGGTTCCAGCAATGGTTGTGACTAGAGTGCAGCAGCCCTAGCATAGTTATATAGTGGATAGAGTCAAGATCTGGCGGCAGAGAGGAGAAGAGTGTAAGGAATGAAGAAACAAGAGAGAGATTGCCTTTTGGGGACTGGCTTGCAGATAGAGAGGAGTTCCTCTCCTTGAAATACACAACTTAGAAAATCTCCACCGGAGTCCCCAAAAGGCAATCCCTCTCTTGTTTCTTCATTGGTATCAGAGCAGGTATCAGAGCAGCAGTGATCCCCAAATCGCCTCTTCCCATCATCAAAATCGCCTCCTCCCTCAAACGGAAGATCCCAGATCCCTCCTCTTCCTCCTCCCAGATCCCCACGCCCGCTGATGCCACCGCAACAATCCTAACAACCGGAGCCATCCTCCGATCTCAGTCGAACCGCACCGATCTCCGTCGAGCGGTCGTCTTCCGATCCCGAAATCACCGACCTGTGCTCGCCGATCCGCGCCCCCCAATCCGTGTCGTCGTCCGTCTGCAGGCCACCCTTCGGCTAGACACAACTCTCTAATTTTTTTCTCCCCCTCACTGTAAGTTTCATATCTCGGTAACCATCTCTTCAAAATCCTTTTTTTAGGAGAGATTCAGCTGCCATGTTTTCTGGAAGCTTTTAATGGTGGTTTAGCTACTGTGAATTTTTTATATTAGGATTGTGTTTTTTTTTACTTAGTTAATACACTTTTTAATGGTGTTTTTTTAATGGTGAAAGTATATAAGAAATTAATTAATTAGTCCATTATCCCATTGTTTTGTGAATTTGTAGAGATTTAAATTTTTTTTTGACTGTTTGAAAACAGGAAAAGGGTCTGAATCTGCAGTTGGAAATTTTTTCTTAACTATTTTATTTGGCTTAACTTTGATAAAAGTTAGTATTTATTTGCTTATTGAAATTAATAATTACATTATTATAATTACAGTACATCTTTAAACCTTCTATTAATATTATTTTAGTATCAATTAATTAAGTTAATTTTTTTAGTTAGTTTTTATATTTTTTAGCAACCTGAAATCAATTCTGTTTGAAATATCATACAGCTTTATTATCGTCATGGCTAATAAATTGATTTCATCTAAACTAGCAAAAATAGAACGCCTTAATGGTTCCAACTATGACACGTGACATAGGAAAATTAAGTACGGACTTATCCATGACAATCTAGATAGTGTCCTAAATGTTTTTGCACCAACTCTTGATGATGATCCCACTGACGCTCAGAAAAGAGAGCTTGATCAGTGGCAACTTAAGGATAATAAGGCTAAAAGCCTAATGTTAATGTTCATGGAAGATAGTTTAATCAAAATTTTTGAAAACTATAATACGACTAAGGAAATGTGGCTTGCAGTTAAAGGAGATGTATGACACTACCTCTGAGGTGAACATACAACTCTTAATGTATAGGTTCAATTCATGTCATATAAGAATGTAACAATGTTATCGAACATGTGAACAAGATGATTGTCATGACTAAGGACCTAACCTCAGCAGGATCTGAAATTCCTGAGAAATTACAGCTGACAACTATTTTGAATAGCTTGCGATCGTCACTAGATACGGCTACCACAACACTTGGGCTTAATGGAACCATTAAACGTGTCACTGACTTTCCAGCTCAGCTAGCAATGGAACAAGATTTACTAGCTAAGCGGAAAGGTTTACATGTGAACCTTGTGCAGCAAGAAGAAGCAAATGCAGCTCACTATCGCAAGGCAAAACTCATCAGTTTGGACATGTCAAGCCTTCCTTCAAAGGATCTGGCCAGCAACGCACTCGCGATAAGAAAGGACCTCCTGGATCATGCTATATCTGTAGGAAGTTCGGCCACTTCAAAGCCAATTGTCCACAAGCAAAGAACAAGAGCGGTCCCAAACACCCAGAACAAAGAGGATTCGGTAAGCGGGAGTTCATCGGCGTCATTGAGTGCAATGCCGCAACTACTAACGCTGGTGGCTGGTGGATTGACTCAGGAGCTACCCGACATATTGTAAAGACGAAGAAAGGGATATGCTCCTTCAAGGAGCTGAAGAAGGGAGATCAAAGGATTTACTAGGAACAATATCTACCTAGATGTTGAAGGTATTGGTTCGTATAGATTCGATCTTGGGGACATCATCATGGTTTTCAAGGAAGTGTTTTATGCACCTGGCATAAGACGTAATCTGATCTTCGTCCCAACCCTCCTAAAGAAAGGCCTTGAAGTTAGGTTTTACAATAATAGGATCTCTATTAGGAAAGACAAGAAAGTGTTTGCTATGGGCAAGTTTGTACCCGAACATGATTTGTTGTCTTTCTGTTGTAAAACCTAAAATTTGCAATAAGAATTCTGATTTGCTTTATCCCTCGTGTCTTTTATTTGATTTTGATCTATGGCATATGAGACTAGGACACCTTAGCAAGAGTAATAGAAAGATCAGATAATTAAAATGGATTTGTTACCAAATCTGTCAGGTGTAAGGATATTACCCTGTGAACACTGCTTAACAGGGAAAATGACTAGAAAGTTATTTTTTGAAGGTTAGAGGGCAAGTGAACTTTTAGAGTTAGTTCATTCTGACATTTGTGGTCCGTTAAGCGTAAAGACACGTGGTAATAAAGAATACTTTATGACTTTCATAGATGATTATTCCAAATATATTTTTTGTAATTAAAATGGATTTGTTGTCAAATCTGACAGATGTAAGGACATTACCCTGTGAACACTGCTTAACAGGGAAAATGACTAGAAAGTTATTTTTTGAAGGTCAGAGGGCAAGTGAACTTTTAGAGTTAGTTCATTCTGACATTTGTGGTCCGTTAAGCGTAAAGACACGTGGTAATAAAGAATATTTTATAACTTTCATAGATGATTATTCCAAGTATACTTTTGTGTATCTTTTAAACAGAAAATCAGAAGCATTTGAATGTTTTAAAAGATACAAAACAAAAGTAGAAAGGATACTTGAAAAGATATATAAAGGTGTTAAGAACTGATAGAGGTGGAGAATTCAATTCAAAGGAATTTGAAAACTATTGCATTCATTATGACATTAAGAGACATACCACTATGCCTTACACGTCACAACAGAATGGTGTGGCTAAAAGAAAAAATAGAACAATAATGAATGCAGTAAGATGTATGTTGTCACATTCGTGTCTCTAAGGATTTTTGGGGAGAAGCAGTATTAACTGCGAATTATATTTTGAATAAAATTCTCACAAAATCAGTCGAGTCAACAACGTATGAGATTTGGAATGGACACAAACCTAAATTAAGTCACTTAAGAAAATAGGGTTGTGTTGCACATGTTTTCATTCCATATCAGGTTAGAGATAAGCTGGATCTCAAAACCTTAAAGTGTAGATTTATTGGTTATTCTGAAAAATCTAAAAGATATAGGTTCTTCCATGAAGATAAAGGAGTCATTGAAAGCAGATATGCTACTTTTCTAGAAAGTCTAGAGGAAAGGAAACAAGTTCAAGAGGCAGTAGTACCACCTTTGCTAGACTTAGATGATGTACCCAACGATGACATGAACATAGTGGATGAAGTAAATCATCCAATAATGGAAGATGAGCCCTTAAATGAGAATATGTCTATGAAAAATCAACCAGCTGAACCTGCCCAACTTATTGACCTTAGTGGTAATAAAAAACCCAGAACAATACATGCATGGATGGATGATTATTATTTGTATTCATGTGAGCCATCTTGTTTCTCGGTAGATATTGACATAGATGAGCAAGCTGATCCCTTGAATTATGTGGATGCTATGCATTGACATAGATGAGCAAGCTGATCCCTTGAATTATGTGGATGCTATGAACACACATGAATCGGAACAATGGCTGGAAGAGCAAGCTGATCCCTTGAATTATGTGGATGCTATGAACACACATGAATCGGAACAATGGCTGGAAGCCATAAAAATGGAGCTTGACTCAATAGAGAGAAACAATGTATAGAAGCTATGTGACTTACCAGAAGATAGGAAGTCCATAGGATATAAATGGTGTTAAAGAAGAAATATCGGGTGATACTTGATAGGTCTATTGATACATTTAAAGCCTGATTAGTTGCTAAAGACTTTACTCAGATAGGAAGTCCATAGAATTATCTTAGTAATTGTTGCACATCTTGACTTGGAACTTTTTCAAATGGATGTCAAGATTGCATTCCTCAACGGAGAGTTGAAAGAAGTAATATATATGAATCAACCTGAGGGATTTCAGGTTGAAGGACAGGAAAACAAAGTATATAAATTAAAGAAATCTTTATATGGTTTAAAACAGTAATCTAGACAGTGATATCTCAAATTTCATAATATTGTTATCCAACTTGGTTTTGTTGCAAATAAATTGGATAATTATGTATGTCTTAAAGAGTGACAGCAGTTTCACAATATTATCTCTATATGTAGATGATATTTTGCTGGTTGAAAATGACATAGAAGTGCTGAACAGAATCAAGTCAGCACTTAGTAGTAAATTTGAGATGAATGACATGGGAGATGTATCATATATTCTTGATATACAGATCCTTAGGGATAGAAAGTCTAGAATGTTAAGCTT